CTTCTTCCCCTGTTCCCCCAACCCCTAGTCCCTTCTGCCCCATCCCCTCCAAGCTGTCCCTGTCCCAGTCCTGTCTCTTCCCCATCCCTTGCTCTGTGTCCCAGTCCCATTCTCCTTGTCTACCCAGTCCCAGTCTCCACTCCTCAAGCTTCTCATCTCCTGTCCCAGTCTCCTTGCCAAGCTAGTCCTTGACTTCACTTCTGGCTTCCCCAGCCAAGTCCCAGTTTCCCCCCATTCTCTGTGCTGTCCCTCTCCTCTGGGGTCCTCATCTGATCTATTTCTAACTCTTACCCTTTCCTTGGGTTGTCATGTCTGTTCGGAGCCCCAGTTTCCCTCCCTGGATGCCTTATCCAATATCAAGGCTTCTCTACACGAGCACTTAGTTTGTGGCAAACTGGGATGTAAATTTACCCTGCACTAGTCTGCAGCACACTGAGTGTCTGTGTGGACCCTGCTGTTGCACACTAACCGTTCCCTAGTGCTGTGAAACGGGAGTAGATCAGAGCACACTAGGGAACAATTAGTGCGCGGCAGTACAGTCCACATGGACTCTGGCAGGACAGTGCAGGGTAGATTTACACCCCAGCTTGCCACAAACTAAATGTTCATGTAGAGCTGCTCTCAGTCTCCCCCACCCCATCCTGACTGCTTATTCCAATCTCTTTGCCCATTTAGTTTTAGACTCTCCCCACACTCTGGCTCCTTATCTGGTCTGTCTCTCCTCACCCACCCCCAGTTCCACACCACTGGTTCCCAGTCCCAGACTCCTTCTCCAGTCAGTCCCAGTCTCCCGCACCTCCCAATCTCCTTGCTCAGCAAGTCAGTTTCTAACCCCCACTCTTGCTCTGTTCACCCTACCTATGCAGTAATACTGTAGTCTCTTCCCTCTTCCTCCTCCCTATACCAGTCTCCTTGCCCAGCCAGTTCCCATCTCTCCCTTTCACTCCCAGTCCCTGTTTCTCGCTTCCCACCAGTATTCAGTCACAGAATGTCTGTCTGTCCCCCGGCCACCCCACAGGCTCCTTGTCCCAATCTACTCTCCTCCTCTTATCCTGGTCTGATTATTGTCTCTTCAACATTCAATTCAGGTGGTTTCCTTTCTGCAGTGCCTGGGCCCAATAGGGGAAAACAGTCTCCCTGGGACAGAGTGCCAGGAGTGACAGATAACCCTGCACTCGGATTGTAATGCTGGCAAACCAGGTGCCAGCTCATGCCAAGCCCCAGGTCTTGTTGAATGCTTACAAATGGATAGCCAGGCCAATTTGCGTGTGTATTAGTATTGATCAAAGTGATTATTAAATGTGTAAATGTATAAGAGTGTTTAATCTTCAAGAAAACTAACAGGATGTTATTAGCATTATTCTCACTTATCTGTATCCGGTTATAATGCAACAACAAACATTTACACTGTGTATAGCCCTGTAACTAAATAACCCATCAAAGGAGAAAGAAGCCTTGTGAAATGCAAATGAAGAATTTTTCACAGAAAAGTGCTAATTTCAAAGCAAGTGGTCATTGTGTGTGATGACTGAAGGCAAACACTCTAAATGCATTCCTCACTCTTGGTCATCAGAGGAAGAGTCCACATGGATAGTGACCCTGTTGGCTTGTTTTCTGTGAGAAGAAGCTGTAAGTCTGGATTCAAGGAAAGAGCCTTGATCTCTGGACGGTCTGGATTCTAACAGGGTGGAATAAGTGAACGAAAAGATGGAGATCCCCAGAGTTATTCTGGGTAGCCTTGAGAGATCTTTGGGAGACTGGCAGATGACTAGATGTCTGCTACCATTTTCAATTATAGACTGTGAATCACCTGTACGTATATTTTACCTGCTCTAACCTCTCAATAATTCTCATTTCCTTTTCTTAGCTAACAAATCTTTAGTTAGTTTACTATCAAATTGGCTACCAGTGTTGTCTTTGGTGTAAGATCTAGGGTACCAACTGATCTAGGGTAAGTGACTAGTCTCTTGGCATTGGGAGCACACTGAATGTGGTGTGATTTTGGGTGTTAAGTAATCATTTTATTGCATAGTCCAGCTTTTCTGGCGGGCAAAATAGACTGCAGAGTCTAAGGGCACTGTCTGTGACTCCATGGCAAGACTCTTATAGTAATCCAGGCACAGGTGCTGGCTTCCAATTGTCCCAGGGGTGCTCAACTCCTGCTCCGCCACCAGTCCAATCCCCACTCTACCCCGTCCCAAATGCCCCCTCCACACCGCCTCTTTCTACCCCTCCCCCGAGTGCGCCCCATCCCTGCTTCTCCTCCTCCCTCCCAGCACCTCCAGCATGCTGCGGAACAGCTGATCGTGGTGGCTGGGAGCCATTGGGAGGGAGGGGGAGGTTGAGCTGGCAGGCAGGAGGTGCTGGGGGGGAGGGGGAGGAGCAGGAAAGGGGCACGCTTGGGGGAAGGGGGGAACTTGGCTGCTGGTGGGTCCTAATTTTTTCCACAGAGTCGGCTCCTAAGAATCCAGGAGTTCACATTTGTTACTGGCCTGGTGAAATCTAATTATAGACCACACCACCAGTGTGCAGTGTCTGCCCTGTTTTCTGACAGTCTGCCCTGAGGTAGACACTCAGTCATGAGCCCGTCCAGACAGTGTGACACTGATCTCTTAGGCCTTGGCTACACTTACCCGCTAGTTCGACGGCTGGAAATCGAACTTCTGGGGTCGGCTTATCGCGGCCAGGC